CAATTTTTTATATTTTAATATCGGACCAATTTCAAGTACTTAAATCATTGTGTCGATTAATGCAAGAAACAGTTGATTCAAATTTAATACAGTTTTATTCAACAACATTAATCAGTAATCAATTAATTGGCGAAGATATGTTTGAAAACAGAATTGAGGCAATTATCAATTTATTTCAAAAATCTACTCGAGAAATGTTTAAAGAAACATTTCAGGTAACTCGCGAAATTTTTCATGGAAACGCTTTTACATCGTTTAATGGAAACACTTGGGCATATAACACTATGGAAGTAAATAATAAATCAATCCTATATGCAATATCAGAAACATATAGCAATGGACAATGCAGATGTGCAACTTCATTAAATTGATCAGAAGAACTTGCAATTGATGGTATACCTGTCGATGGTCGTTTTTTTGGTTGTTATGCAATAGAAGCTATATTACGTTCTTCACTGGAATGTTTATATATAGTAGAACATGTTTAGAGTTAATTCTATCAAATCTTGAAGAAGATTTGATAAATATAAAAATTCAAGTTTTACAATCAAAAACTAAATATGGTGAGGGTGAAACTGTTCAACATATAGTAACAACTGTTCTTAATTTATATGGATGTTTAACAATATTATTACGTCTTTTAATTCCTTTAATTATTGATATTAGTTTCCGAATACATTACAGAAGAACGCAAATGGTTATTGAACCAGATATATAACCAAAATCAAAGAATAAGGTTGATAATTAATAAATATTGCTATTTGCTTATTTATATATAACTATACTTTTATAAAAAAAAGTCTCACAAGAATGAATTGTTTTCTTGCTTGCTTGTGTATCTGCATTTTACTGATTAACCGAGAAATAAAACGAAACAAAATGATTTTTTCAGTGTACTTAAAAATTGAATGTACTACTAGAATCGATCAGTGTGTTCGACCGTTTATTTATCCGATAACCTGCGGAAGCGAAAGCAGAATTTCGTGCAATGCTCTGCACAGTTCAGTTGCATCAATATCTCAGTCGAGTTCAAAGGCTAGAATCATCTTCGAAGAAATAAACAAACTAATGAATAAATTATCAATGTTGCCTAGATCATTCCTGAGAGAGGAATACCGGGATCTCTGAAATTTTTTTTCAAAAAAACTATTTAAAACATGTATAAATTGTCTTATTTATTACAATTACTAAAAGCGTCATCATATAACGAAATCATTGGATCTTTAAATCCTATACAAATGGATATCCTTCGCCGATAAGTACTATAACATTCATATTCATTATTATTATTTTTATTATTATTAAGCTCTTATACTTAGGACTGATCGCAATTTCTGATCATAGCTTCTTAGATTAAATCTTGGCATTACTGTAGATAGAAACTACGTCTCTGAGTAACTCAAATGATTTTGATAGTTCGACATCTCAGATTTTGCTGATTTTGTTTGATACATTGTAGGTAGAAGTGAGGTAAGTATCCGATAAAATTTTCCGCTCGATCAAACCACTTCTGCCAGCCGAAAAAGTCGATATACGAGCAGAATTTTTGATATCTACTTTTTTCGGGTTTTCAGCGATTTCTACGGGATATCCTTGAACAAAGGTGTTTTATAGATGTGGTAACCATATGAGACTTCGGTCAATCTGGAAAAATGTCCAAAATAGCAATAACAACATCACACTTTCTTATCTTGTCAGATTTTCTGACCTGAATGTCGATCGTTCACTTTCTTCACATAGGAATTTGATCACATCTGGCTGCAGCTAAACGTTCTTTTAACTGCACTCACCTATGAGATTTTTTAGTGGCAATTTCTTTTTATTCACGAATATATTTTGAAAATAATAATCTGATTTATAGTTGATGAAATAACATCCCTTTTTTAAATTAACAAGCAATTACGAGATAAGAGTCTTTTTCTTAAACAACCTACATATCAGGCAACTATATAATACCTACTATGAATGAATATTTTCAATATATTCATTCATATAATACAAGTAACGCTCATCCTCTGGATTCGCTAACCCTTTTCTGAAAGACTTTCCTAATGTTGAACACATTCAGAAACTTTGAAAGAGTAAAAACGCACTGCGATTGCCACTAGTGCTTAACTGAATCATGGCACTATGTCACACGCTAGAACTAGAATGAATAGAATACAGAGGTCTTTTAGGAATCAGACCGATTTGCCATTTGTCAGTGGATAATTCTCCAGCACTAACTATGTTAACTGAAAAATTCATCGCTCAACGGCTAGTCAGACGGCCAACCATTGACCTTTGTCATCTGTTTTTCTATTTTCATATCACGCCCATGGAAATTTTCATTAATGCTTTACTAAGTCACTCATAGACGGATGATATACAGTAGACTACTTGAAAAGTTTGTACATTCGCCTGTGTCTTCCAGCGATAATCCGATTCTTTTCTCTGTTGTCAACAAAATGATACCTTGTCGAATATTTTCATTGAGGAATATCCATTCGTCAAATCCCTTTCAAAATTATCTGAAGCCTAGCAAGGTTATTCTAAGCGTACACTTTAGGATTAATCTAGCATTGAAACGAACATCTCCCATAGCGCTGCATGTGTTCAGAATACTGTTTGTATAGTCCACGCGTCTATAGTTACTAAGATGGAATACCGCCGACGGGTATATCACTTTGCGAACTACTTCCACTAAATTCCCATGAAAAGACATGACGTATGTACTCAGGTCGAAACCACCCTACTGGATCCTATTGGATCCCTAAACAATCCGTCAACATTCGATAGTCGGATCCGATAGGATTCCGACGATGGGATTCCGTGCACATCTTTCAGTTTCCGCTTACATCCTGCCGTCGGAATATCCAGGATTCCGACAACAGGATCCAGATATTTCCGACACCTGGAACCTGTTGTATCCGACATAATCCGACTGTCGGAATGCGTCGGACTCAACAGTGTATTGCACCATCAAGTACTATGTGAGTTACTCTAGCCAGTTACTATTCCTGATAGATTTTCAACGATGATTCGGCGATGAAAGACCTTCTATAACTGAAATTTATCAGTATATTTGCAAACCGTAGATGTTCAACATCTGAAGAGATTATATGTAGATTTTAGTGACCTCTATTTACACTACATGTAAATGGTCAGTAGGTTATACAACGATTTACATGAACAAGGTTCATTTTTACTTTCGTGTTATTCCAATTTGGATCGGAAATTTTTTTTTAGTGATAATTTTTTTTTTCTATTTTTCATTTTAGCATCCAATATCAGAATTAAAATTTTTGTTTTTTCTACTGGTCAACGATGACTAGCAGATACTGTAAAAATTCAAACTTTTTTCATGGTATGTGCTTTTTATTTGTACAAATACTAAGCAAGACGAGATAGTGTTGGTAAGTAACTCTTCATTTATCGAATATGTACTTCTTCTGAGATTCTAGTTACCCAGGTAAGAAGTTTCTAACTCTTATTTGTTTTCTGTTTAGAAAAGAATCGTCCATGTTTCAGTTGTCTTTCATGCATCTATTTTTCGTCATTGTAAAACAGTTTTTTGTTGCTTTTTACGCAAACAAATTGAAAATAAATGCTCAAAAAAAAGTGAATAAAAAACAAATAATTGTAATCAGGAAAGCCTGTAAAAACCTATCGGATCCGTCACCCCACTACTTCCGATCGGATTCCTGTACCAAAGATTCCAACGATTTCCGACACGGATTTTGTTGGAAGCTATCGGATTTCTGAAGGAATCTGCCGGATTTAGTAGGTTTTCCGACAGGATCCGATGGGATTCGGAGCCCGGACTACTCGTCTTGGGTAGCCTACAAAGCAAAGATGATACTAAGCTCATATCACTTTTTCGGATTTGTTCAATTTAGAAACATCATTATGTACAATGTATTAGATCTTTTCGTGTAAGTTCTTGGGCTACTCTCTTTGTATGCATGACGTCCGTGAATAGCACTCAGCTCACCATCTTCTACTAAAGATTTCAGAAAATATAAAGAAAAATATCTCCTTTGTAAAGAGGAAGGAACAAGCCCAGGCTCAGCGAATAAAACGAAATTCAGCCGCAACTTCGAATTTCCCGACGTTAGAAATCTTTCGGTCTACTCTGACAATGGATGTTAATAAGTCGTGGCTAGTTAATGAAAAGCTAATAATTAATTAATCAACACTAACCTCGGATTCGTGATCCTCGACCTTGATTACCTCAGGCGAACCATTTCCGTATGGTCATCTCTAAGGTTTCATTGGCTTATAAGAAGCTGCAACCTGATTGGATTGGACAAACTCACAAACTTTTAGCTTTTGAGCCACCGATTTTAGAACGGTATAACCCTTTCTTTCAGAAAAGGGAATAAAAATTCCGATACATAGAATGAAACCTTCTCTACCGACCTATGAAAAGAATATTTACCAAGGGCACATTTGTTTTTCATTTCATTGTCATATCGAATAAACATGTCAACATATTGATAAAAATCATAATAGCCGATGAGATGAGACTGGCACAAGTTTCTTCTTCTTTGTCTGAGAAATAAAACTAAATTTCTCGAAATTCTGTCAGTTAATTTGACAATAACATCAATCAACAGATTGTCAAAGGGTGTAGACTTCGTTTCTGATCTAATCATCTCGCGACTGGATTTAATGAAAGTATCCTTAAGAGAAAAAGAGATCTTCGCCTTGATAATTCGTTACAGATTGTTAACGAGAAAATGTCGGATGATATACTTGTCTATTCACTTGATGAACTTTTGATATAAGTAGAAATGATCAGATGAAGGTCAAAGATATGTTCGGTGACATTTTCTCGTAGAGAGAAATATCCACCTGACAAACGAGATTTAAGTTAATGTCATCTATTGTCTCATCTGAAATTGACTTTCATGGTCATGTCACATTCATTTAGAAAAATTCAACTTTTAAGATTCAAAGAGAACTTATCAATGATTTATTTCAACGAAATCTTTTTATCACAGGGAAGAAAATGTATTTTATGTAACTATAGACGCATACGGTTGTTCAAAGGATGTGTCATGCGAACGTGATCGTTTTCCATGATCGATTGAACTTAAAAATGACGATCGATGAGATGAAGATATAACTGGCATAAACAAAAGATAATTATCAGATTTCCAAGTAGTGGGTAGAAATGTTCCATCATGATACTGTTGGTGATAAAGTCCGATTGCGTGTCGTTCTTTGTATAATTCAAGTTCAGAATTAATTGAATCAGTCGATATCGATGATGCAATCGGTCGAAAACGTGGGACAATTGAATATCGGTCTAATTCTGTATCGTAGCAATTCAAACAACTATGATTAACTAATGTATTTTCATGATTGAGAAAAATCAAGTGATCGCATGACTGCAGTTTTCGATGATTAACAATGGATAGTTCATAGATATTTGGACAAGAATGTACAATTCCACCCGCAGTTAAAAAGAATTCATCGTCATCATTCATATGTTCGTCCTCATCGTAATAATCTTCTCTCCCAAATATACATGGTGCTGTTGGCCGAACTAGATAGGAAAAGTGAGTTGATGTGGGAGGTGTTGAGGATTTGTCGAGGCTATCAGAATTGGTGCACAGCATTTGATCATTCGTCAGACAACATTGACAGGTTGAAGTAGGTGACGACGACAACGAAGAAGAAGACAGCGATGTAGAAACTCGACTGTTTTGATCTATCTATAATAATGATAATAATACATCTACGATATCTCTCTCTTTTTTTCTGTTCTATCCTTAATAAATAAATGCCCACTTGCCCTATCATCGTTCTTGACTATGCGCCGTGTTGTATCATCATGATGGATACAAATATCCGATTCGACTGATGTCATTTATAGCATCGAGTGATCAAAAGGATTTCTCTATTGAATATATATATATATATATAGAAATCATTCACTCGATTGTACTTACTCAGATTCGATTTATTTCAAATACTCACTGGACGAAAACTGACACGAATGAATATATACGTATGTCCTTAGTTAATATATCTTATTCACATACTCTCTGCTGAAATATTATCGAGTACAGCGTGCATCATATGTAAGTGTACGTAAGAGTAAAAGAAGAAAAAATGAATCGAATTTGAACGTGCTCATCTGCTCACACCCTATTTACGATTTACTTTTTTTCTTCAATAGTGAGAGAAACTAAAAAGAAGTATTGCGTGTGTTGTAATGAGACATTACAAAACGACGATTTACATCTGCTGCATATAAGCAGATCAAGTCAAGTCTCGTGCATGAAGATGAAACGATGAAGAAGAGAAAATGTGCAATACTCCAACGTTGACCTCGGATGAAGATAAATAGCGATAATTTGCTTGTTATTTCGAATGACGACAAGAAAAGAAAAGAATCTATATTCAAGATTCTTGACATATACAACATACTTGATCGAGTGAAGTGAAACTTGTTGGATAAAAAGTCAATTTGTGCCGGTTAGATAAATACACATTCCGCCGTGTAATGGCAGGACTTGGTATTATAAATGGAGTGGAATAAGATGGATTCTCAATGATATACGCCGTTGAATGACGCGAACAAACCGTAAATAGGTTTAAAAATTTGCAGACTGTTTGCGAAAATCGATTTCGAAGATAAGCTCCTGGACGTTCTCTCATCATTGCATGAAGAGAAAATGACATGAAAGATATCTATCTTTGTGTCTATTTACAACTGAAGGATATAATGATGTGCGAAAAGCAAAACAAGTATAGAAAATAGTCGACCAGTTACTTTTTCTGTGCCTGACATTTGTCACTCATACACGCGCCTGTTATTGCCGATATTTATCATTGCAGTTATGCTAGCCGTAGATCCTCCCTGGTTTATTATCACTTTTACATCGAAAATCAGTGAAAGTAGCATGGATTAAGGACAGACGGTATTTCCATCAAGAAAGCATAGAACACTTTTTGTCCTCTGTTTCATTTGATATCGAATAATTTGAATTTTCTTCTTTTGCCAGCGTTTAATATAAAATCGATCAAAGCAAACGAAGAAAAACACGAGAAATATGAAAATTGAATCTCTTGTCAACTAATCAATATTTCATGTTGACATTAATCTCTTTTTTTTTCTCATACATATAATATAAACATTCTCTCGATATGATTGAAATATTCTTCTTTTTTCTGTTAGAAATGACAACTATTGCATGCAATCATCTTTCGTCTTATTATAATGAATAGGTTCATGTCGAATGGATACGCAGATTAGTACAACTCTTCAGTTGAAGGTCAAACTCAATGCATGCATCGAAAGAGAAGAAGAGAGAGGGAGATATATATGATTGTTAAATGATGAGCACGGATGAGTTTCTGACAGATAACTTTCGACAATGATGTGACAGGAGTAGAACATTGAGAGGACATACGGCTGCCCTAAGCATTACATTGGATGTAATGGAAAAACAATTGCTGATTAACTTTTTTTTCTCCTTTTCGNTGATTCAAGCTCTTAATTCATTTAAAGCTTTTTTTTTCTCTCTCTCTCTTCCTTTACTCTCATTGTCATTTGTTCATTCTCATTCATATTTAATTCATGGTACACTAATATTTTTCAATTAAATGAATAAGAAAAGGAATGAACATTCATTTGATTAGTTGTCTCTCGCTCTCGTGTTTCTCATTCTCTCTCTCTCTCTCTCTCTCCCTATGTGCGTCTCTTGAGATACAAACTATAGATAGTGTTAGTTATTCATTCAATGTACAAAACAAATAGATGATCCTTTTTTCCTATAGTAAGTCATGCAATCGTTTTTCTTTGTTATTGTTGTTCTTCCTCCTTTTCGTTGTTCTATCATTAGAGCAGTTCTTCCTGTTCAGTCAACATCTACATTGATTTTGTTACATCATCGTACAGTTTTCTTTTTTTCTTCTTTTGTCGAAATGGGCGGAGTGTCAAGTAAAGATTACACAAGCAATGCATATGTATTGATGAACTATTCATATTGACAAGATGATTTCATGTATGTGTGTGTTCGTCTTCCGGTTGTGTTGATGTCTAGGAAGAAGAAATTTGTGATGGGTGACGGCAACTTCACTTCCTGTCATTTCAATTCTATTAAACCACTTAATGTTTTGTGGTCATCATCATCGGGATGAAATGAAGTGACAATCGATTTTTAGTTTTTTTTCCTCTTTTTTTTGACACAGTTAGGGGTTAGGGTCAATGAACTAGACTGCCGACAGCGATGAGACATGCGCCATGCTTCAATTGGATATTATCAACAGCTCTCGGAATTCAATAGCGATGAGTATATACTTTTCCCCTATCGCTTGCCTATTTACTGCGGCTTACATCATCGATGATTGTTTTTTCAGACCATTATATACATATACATATGAGTATTAATTCTTATCATATTCTCCTCTTCTTCTTCTTCTACTTTGCATTAGATGAGTAAACCGGAAGGTCCGAGAGTCAACTGTTATTCTTCCTTTGTCATTCTCTTCACTTGCCCTATCGACAACTGCCCAGAGAGAATAGAATATCAATCAACTATTGAAAGAGATAATCGACTTTTTCTTTGAAATTATCGAACACATGGTCAAACTCAAGAGAGATAAGTCAAAATCACTCTATCTTGAATTTCATCTATTTTAGATGCTTGTATTCTTTATTTTCTTCTTTATTCTTTTCAATTCAATTCACTCCTGTCCATTAACAGATAATTACTTATCCCGTTGTCATTGTGGGATATTAACCAATGGAGAATCGTATATCAAATGTGAAGAAAAAGTTCTCGATCAAATTCCAACATTTAAACGTTCATTTCCTTACGATGAATTGATTCTATCCAATAATAACATTCGCACATTACCACGCTCATCGTTCGATCATATTAAAACCATACGAAGAATTAATTTAGAAAATAACTCACTTTCATTCATCGATAATGATCTTTTACGTTTATTGGGGAATTATCTCGAAGAGCTGATCTTGACTGGCAATGATCAGATCAATTCTTTGGAATTTCTCCTTCGTTATCCATTGAAAAACTTACGTGTGCTTAAACTGGACCACTTCGATCTAAGTCAAGTCAATTTGGAACGGGTTTTTCTTAATATGACACGATTAGAAGTCATTTCTCTACGTTCGTGTCAAATTACATCTGTGCCAAACCTTCGAAATGTTCAAACGTTAGATTTGGAAAGTAATCAAATATCCAATTCCATTTCGCTCGCGACTTCGTACGTGTATTTAAACTTGGCGCGGAATATGATCGCATCGATTGACTTGCAAAAGAATTTCAATTTGAAATCTTTGAATTTAAGCGAAAATTTGTTAACTTCATTCGATTTCGCGATGCTAGATGACAATTTGAGCACTTTGAACTTAAACTCCAATCGATTGTTGGCTATCAATTTAGTTAATTTACCGAAAAGTTTGACTTCTCTATCTATCAGCAAGAATTTAATCAAACAAATGAAATTTTCCAAAGAATCTCCGTCAAATTTATCCACATTAGACTTAAGCTCCAATCAAATCCGTACAATCGAAGAAAATTCTCTATTTAAAACCTTAACTTCCCTCAATCTCGAACAGAATCCTCTGGAGTGCAATTGTCAATTGCAATGGTTGAAAACTCTCGCTATCTCTTCCAAACAAATCAATGCCATCACATGGAATTGTCTCACTCCAACACCCACCTCTTTCCTTATATCAGATTTTCAATGCAAAACCAAATTGAAGCTTCCTCGCGTGATTCTTTTCAACATATCCTATGTGAAAATCTCGTCTGACAAGGGTTTATTCCTTCAATGGTCAATAATTGATGAAGATAACACTCTGTATGCGATTCAAATTAGTATTTCCGATCCGTTTTACCTTTCTCCGAAATTTCGTTCGAATCAAACAGAAATCTTCCTATCCAATCAGATCCAATCGAATCGAACCTATCACATCTGTCTGATTTTATTACATAAATATGCACGTGATAAATATTGTCGAGAGTTTTTAACTGATAAGTTGATTGCCCTTCTGTCAAATGAAATTATAGTTGAAAAACAACATCGAAATACTTTAACAACAAATTACGATGTTAATCTTTACATGATGTTAATCGCCTCATGTCTTGGCGGAATTCTGACATTTCTGCTGATATTTTTATGTTGTTATTTATGTTTTCAACTGCATAAAGTCAACCAAAAGAAGAAAACAGCAAAGAATCTCTCGTTGTACTCGCGGAACGTTACTAATCATTATCCAATCTATCAATCTCATTCAACCACATGCCCATATCATCATCACGAAAATCTTTCCAATTCAACCGATAGTAGTCAAATGGATACATCGTTATCGACAACGAATTTAAAACATATCTATCAAACAATCGATAGTCAAGATTATACGAATTTTAAACGTGAAAATCAAAATCAATTGTTTGACTTATGGAATGAATCGTTAAGACAGAAGAGATAGTGTGTGCGTGTGTTTTGTTTTCTTGTCTTCTTTTTTTATACATCCGGATGAATAGACGTCATATGCTAATTTATACATGTATGCTTTTCTTTTCTTCCCGTTCTTGTACAAATAAAATGGAAATTTGTGCTCGTCGTTATATTGAATTCTCAAGAGAAGTAATGACAAGAATAGTTGACTGAATCTCTCGAGTATGGCTAATGACATTGTCGACGACGATGTTCAATTGAAATGGAAAGGAATTGTACTGAGAAATGAGAAATGCACAGCATACGGCGAAGTTTTTTATTAGGCAAACTTCGATGTGAATGAATATCGAGTTTTATCTGAAAAGACACGATCAAAGAAATGTTTATTATCGAATTTTATTGGTTTTTCATAAAAGCAATACAATGACTTTATTCGTATAAGGTAAAAAGAGAAAAAAAAAGAAGAACGCTTTGTTCACTAATAACTACGAAAGACTTGTGGTATTCTATACAAAAAAGAACAAATCGGATGAAATTTTTTTTACAGTTTAGAATTGTAAATAATCGAAACCTGCAGATTTTCCTTTCGGAATTATTGAAGTTGATCACTATGTGCTATTTTGACTTCTCGCGAAACGTCACCATTTTCCGATCCACTCATTTCGAGATCTTTAAGAATATGAAAACCTTGTAAAACTTGCCCGAATACAACATGTTTATTATCTAAATGTGGACATGGAACAAAAGTAATAAAAAACTGACTTCCATTTGTATTTGGGCCACTATTTGCCATGGATAAAAGACCAATACGATCGTGTGGATAAGGAAAACCTTCATCATCAAACTTTTCACCATAGATTGAATAACCACCAGTGCCATTCGATTTTTCGAAATCACCGCCTTGTGCCATGAAATCAGGAATAATTCGATGAAAATAGGACAGTCGATAACCAAAACCATGTTCGTTCAAACACAGAGAAAGAAAATTTTGTGCTGTACGTGGTAAAACATGACTAAAGAGTTCCATTATAAGTCGACCGCGTGCTTCACCATCGACTTCTATATCGAAATATACTACTGGATTCGACTCGTTTCTCATCGGCATTTGAGGACCAGTTCCACCTCTGTTCAACAAAAGAAGAAAGTTGAGTTATTTACAGCACTTTTTTTTCTATCTGTTACATACAGTTTATTCAAAAGGGGATTAGTTGCAACTTGCTGTTGCTGTTGATACGAAACATCGAGGCTATCATTGGGAGGTATTGGTAATGGTGGTGCAAGATCGAAGCCATCGAGCATTTCAGGTTTTCTAGGAGTTGATCGAGAAACAAATGAGAGAATAGACGTAGAAGAGAGCGATCGTACCTTTCGTCCAGTAGCTGTTCAGGATCGATATGTTTTTCTGTATCATGATGGGCGTGTTTTGAAGACCGTTTCTTATGCTTCTTTTTATGTTTTTTTTCTTCTACTCCAGCTAAATTTGTTTGAGAAAGAGTTGTAAGTAACAACGCTGTCGCATCGCCTGGCAGAGCACCTAGAATATTCAAACGATCAATCATTATTTTTTAAATATCGAATTAATTTGATTTACCTTCAGGCATGACTGATTCGGTTGACAAGGTTTCATTAGTTGCTTCTTGACCATTGAGATTTTGATAAACATATGTTGGTTGACCCGTTGTTGGGATTGAGACATACTCAGTAATTGGGCGAACAAATTTTTTGTAATAATCATCGATCATAGTGTTGTTATATTGCCGCACGAATGGCGATCCGCGTTGGTAGGATATGTTAATATCTTCGGGTGATGCCCATTTGATGTTGGTGTCATCAAAGGTTGTCGGAACAAATCCTTCGATATCGTTTGTTAATTGTTGTTGTTGTTGGGCAAATTCCACGGGATCGAAATCAAGATTGTCTTGTAGAAGGTCCTGTTGGGATGGTTCCTGCTGCTGTTGCGGTGATGGTTGTTGTTGTTGTTGTTGCTCGGGAGATGACTGGTCTTGGTGCGATGGATTACGATTTAAAGACAGCCCAGATAAGTTTTGTGAAAGTAAACTTTCGTTAAATTGTGATGGAAGGTTATAAATGGGATTTGAAAACATCGTTGACCGGAGAAATATGTCTTATGAACAACAATCAATCGTTTTCTTTTTTTTTATTAAGCGTAGTTGGAAGACGCGAAAGTAGTGAAACGAACGACTGATACGGTCCAGTGAACAAGCGAACACAACCGATCCCGCCTGACTTTTGTTCGTGTTCAAAAGAGAGAAGAAAAAAAACGAAATGAGAGAACGAGAAAAAATTGTCAATAACGATCAACTGTCATGTTAAATGAGCTACGACGATCGATCGATCATATCTTGTCTGCATATACAAACACGCAGTGCACTAAGATACTTTTCGACATTTACCATTTTAGTTCACTTTGGATTAGTTTCGATGTGAAACAAAGAGAATTTTTCGAGTAGTATTCTGATTTATTTGCCTTTAACATCACAGTTCAATCCAGTAAACACTTTGCCATCAATGTCGGTCGCGTAGATTCGGAGTATACACATTGAAAAACGTTTCATACTGTAGGTAAAAGACGGCAGACTGTCATTGACCTTGAACATGTCAGTATACAGTATTAGTACACTGATATGCTTGATAAGAGAGTCTGAACTTGGATTGTAACAAGAAATTTAGTTTCAGGATTCTTAGTAACTTTCCGAAAGCTGTATACAAATGTTTGCAACGTTCTCTCCTACGAAAGGTGATTTCGAAGGCCTGCATGTGACATACATTTTGAAAAAGAAAATTCATCGACATTGATTATTGCTATTTGTCGTCCATTGTTTCAAACTACGTATATTCTTTTTGTCACACTAATTACAAATAGTTGAGTACATGTCCAGCTCGAGTTTAACGGCAAATGAAAATTCTAAAAGCAAATCTCGGTATAAACTTGATTTTTCAGGAGGACATACTTTTAATTATGCAGATTTCTAACATACATATGAGTTAGACTCAAATCAAATCAAAACGAACTTATTGCTAACGATTCGTATTGATATCAAAATGCTTTATAAACATATCAAATTAAAACTACATCGGGTCTGGGTGCATTTTCAAGTTTTAGTTCTTATTTTTTTAAAATTTATTCTCGAAGTTACAACAAAGCACATGAATTCAGGAGAAGAAAGTACAGTTCAAACAATATTCTTGCCCGGATCTGTAGTCTATGTAGTGTTGTTATTAACTACAAAAACATAAACCTATTGTTTTACGATGAAGGTTTTACAGATATTACCGCTTTTGCCTTGCGATAGTACAATCGACGTTCGAATCAAGTGTTACTTTTAGTAGATACCATTGTTCATTGTTCTCGTAACATGTGGACACGTCATGAGTTTTCGAGAGGTTTGTCTTTAGACCGACGAAAAGGCCTTTTTCATTTTATCAATATTTAGACGGTGTGGATAATTTGGGTGTGTGTGTGCGAAGAATGTTTCTATGGGAATCAATGTCAGTTTTCAAGTCGAAGTTATATGATATCATTAGATCCAATTGTTGGATATTATACCAAATCCAGTCTTAACTGGAATGATCAACTGTTATTCGTGTAAGTAAGGGTGACGATTACTTGACTTATTTTTCAGTTGGATTAGTTAACGGGATATTACCAACGATAACTTTTCAATTAGAAAAAACTGTCGTGAAGTTGGGTGTAGTTATTATCTTTTTCTATCATCAATTATTTCTTTACTAATTGTTATCTTATTGTTAATGAAATATTTTTATTTTCTTCTTTTTCAAATGGAAATCATTCGAAATCGCTCGATTAGCGTTGTTCGATATTCAAACCATGGTTCGTCATTATTCAGCTACCGAATCCTCACTACCATTCAAACAAGAATTTCTTCGAAATCAACGTCTCTTATTTCCTTCGGGAAATGTTGATTGTCTTAGGTACACTACATTTAATTATGACATTTGTCAACCATGGATTTATCTCTTCGCTTATTTTATTTCGTATGGTTCATCAATATACACCTTTGTCACATTTATTTCACCGTCGGAAAACTATGAGCAATAGTTCCATTTGGAATTTCAACGAAAATGAAGACAGGTTCGTTCGTCATTAAGCTTCTTTATTTGAAAAATTTTCTTTTCGGCATTTAAAAAGCGTGTGGAAGGAAAGAGAAAAGTTCATGCCTTTTTAAACACAAAATAAACAATCCGAATTTTGAAAAGAGAACGTTGTTAAAAAGCACATTGAAAGAAACTGTCAACGGATACGAAACTCAATGGTAACGTGGCATCTAAATATTTTGTACGTTCACATTTTTTCGTTAAATCACATAAGAAAACACAATGTTCTGTATTTCTTTTCGTACAGTCGACGCCGACCACATCCTGCTCGATATTATCAAGTATTCGGTCGAGAACCTGAACAATCATGGCCAATGGTTTGCGCTCAATGTTTAGTTGGAGGATTTAAATGTATAATATATTATGGTATTCTCTATTTGATTATTAAATGGTATTTATGGCCAGCAGTTGTACCGAATCTAATGAAATATGAATTCGCACAGAAAACAATGAACCAATCTTCGATTCTTCTGGATCGATTAAAACCGAATAGAAAAATACTATTCGATTCCGATTGAGTTTTACATATTGATGTTATGTGATGATCTGTTGATAGAATTCAAATAATAAAGCTTATTTTCATCAAAGCATCAGAGAGTTTATTCCATGATTAGCAAGAAAAAAAAGCACGTCGAACAATGTTTCAGAAAAATTTTTTCGATGCATCATTGATTAATTGAGAGAGAGATGAGGAAAAGACAAACACATACAAAAAAACGACTAACACAAAAAAAGAACGAGGACTAGGACAATATATAAAAGTGTAGACAATTTTTCAACAAGGACAAATGAAAACAATTATTTTTTTTGGATTTTTTGGGGGTTTTATACTTTTTTTGGATTTTTCAGTTTCTTTGTTTTTTTTTGTTTTTCTATGGCACATATTTCAAACGCTAATATACAACAACTACAATGTACATTCCTCAAAAATTGCTTATTCGATGTTTAATAGCTAACAAATATGATCTGTGCAGGCCGCCTCGGTGAGCGCCGAACTGTAATGGAGGGCCTCGCCTGCGTTCTTTCGACCGCACACTGTCCAGCGCGCCTTCACTCTGTACAATCATCTCCTAAATCGGAGTGTGTCTCTGCTCACACCTCGCCGCCTTCATCTCCTCTACTAAATAATAAGCCTGGCTCATCGCATAAATACGAACACTGTTCGTTTCACTGTTGCGAGTTTCGTCCTGTCCCTTCAGAAATATGTCCTCTCTTAACTTTTAGCATTCAACATTTTCATGCGTAATTTCAATGGCATCATATCACCTCGGGGCTCATGTGTTTGTTGTGAATGAGTATTGGTTTGTTCGGAAACACATGTGGATGATGATTGTAATAACGGCATTGAAAGAGAATTGTTTGATGATGTTGAAAAGTAATTCATTAATGTTTTCAATTGACTCAGAGAATGAATGTCGTCTTGTTGTTGGTGGTGGTGATGGTGATGATGATGATGAAAATTTTCACCTTGCATTTTTTGTTGATGATTGCTGTGATAGTCAATGGTCGCTCGTGGAGGATTTGGCTTTCGTAAGAGACCATTGATAACTGATTGACACACAGATTGAAGTGCGGCTGTTTGGGGTTCCACGGGTACTGATGGTTGAGCAGAAGACGATGATGATGATGGTGCTTGGTTTAATGAGAGTAATGTCATTGCTGCTTCATCCCATTTTTGTTTTTGTTCATCTTCTTGTTGGAATTTATCGAGATTTCGTTTTAATGAAGAAATGTTTGGTTTGGATTCTGTTGGCGAAGCGATTGTCAAGAGACGTGATGCTATAACATTTTCCGGTTGTTTGGTTTTAAGAATTTGATTGGCAAGAATTTGTAATAGTGACTCATTTGGTGGTGATGGAGATGGAGTCAATGGTGGCGGACTTTTGGTTGGAACTGTTGTCAATAAATTGCCGGTTTTGACTTCAGATCGACTTAAATCGACTGCATTGTTTCCTAATAATTGACTGTAAAGTAGTGGATGTTGAACACGTGTATGAGATGCATTATCGTCCAAAGTCGTAGTTGATGCTGCTGCTGCTTCTTCGTCATCACCGTCATCATCGTGTGTTTCAGACGATGAAATATTTTTTGATTTTGCTGGTCGTGATGACGAGTAGTCATCGTCGTCGCTCGTGCCTGGACGGCTAGGAAGAAGAGCTGATGCAGATGTTGCTGGCTTGAGACAGATACGACCAAGACGTTGTTCCTCTTCGAATAAACTTTCCATTTCTATCTCTTTCATGTTTAACCGTGATAACATCAGATGAAGTTTGGCTTTCAATGCTTCATTTTCATTCGATAATTCCACAACTTTGGTTTCTATTGAGAAAGAAACGACAAAATCAAAATTATGGCGTGAAATGACGAGGAAAATATCATTTACCTAGAACAATATCATTGAGACGGCGTTTCTCACGTGAACGTTTGGCAGCCAAGTTGTTCTTTCGTCGTCGTTCCCAATAGTGATCATCTTTCATATCATTGGGAATGAAATCGCGACGTTTTCTTGCCGGTATGACATCTTTTCGCAGTAATAGTTGAGTTAAAAATTCTTTATCAACAGATTGTGGTCCAGCTGTCGTAACAACTTTGACAATTTCACGGTCGCTTGCCGAACTTGATCGAGAATCTGTTGCTGATCTCATTGGCACTTGTGAAGGAGGTTCATTTGGCATTGGCATCGTTTTCCTACAAAGTCGAAAAGTGAGAAAAAGAAAGAAGATGCATCGGCAGAACATACTTGATACGTTTGACTTGTGATTCCATTGTCGTATCTGAAGGAGATGATGAAGATGAAATTTGTTGTTGAGTCAGAGCATAGAGCATGTTCAATTGAGATTGTAGATCGTTAGCAATTAAATGAGGTGCATGTACAAATGGAGATGTTGATGAACGAAGAAGATCGCTCGATTGCATTTTCTATTGTAACAAAATTAATTGAAGTCTTACTCCAAACCAATACTAAATAACAAACCTGAATGCTAGTCATCATGATTTTTCTCGAATACTAACAATGTTGTTGTTGATGATGGTATACGTCTGTTCGCGTCGGACTCGGGCACGAAACTGACCTTTACTTCTTTCTATCTTTTACTTCTATAGATCTCTCTATTTCTCTTTTTCTCTCGTTGCCCTAATTCACTCGTTTTCTTTCTTTTTTGTTATTTAGGGCATCCAGTAATGAGATGCATTTGTGTACAAATGTCTGCGGTCAGTACAAGCTAGGTCAACTTGACCCTCTTCTGTTTGACCGTTATGTTCTTATGTCGTTTCTTCCTCTCTTATGAGCATCGACATACACAACATTCTCATCGGACATTGCCCATTGACCTTAGACGCATGTATAGATTAGTTGTTCTCTTTTCTATCATATTCATGATAAAACGTACTTGTGCGTATATGAGTTGAACGAGAAGAGAGAACGAAGAAAAAATTATCAAACGGATGACCGACAGCGCGATAGCTGATGACCTTCTTCTTTCGTTCAAGTGCAAATAAATTCAGGAAAAAGAGAAATAGGTTAATGTGACCTCCCAAAAAATCTCCAATTTTATCGCAAGTTATTTAAATCACATCAATCTTATTCTGAAAATTTAATTGTAGAGAAAATATATTTTCCATTTCATTCATTCTTTGCGTTACAATTCATTACCAATCGACTTTCGATATTCTGGTTCAGTACAGCCGTTGCTTTCTTTTCTCATCAGTTATGACCGACATTATTATTGACCATGTACATTGTTTCTCTATCTACATAAGGAGGTCGAGCTGACCGACATAATTCCTTTCTCGTTATAGTGAAATACACAGATGTGTGTGAATACGCGTCGGTCACACAATCTTTTCCAATTGCTTGACCGATCATCATAATAATAGTCTCGTTGATTTGTCCTTCTCTATTGATCATATATAATGAATAAGAATATAATTGATTATTGAGTTCAATGAACACTCCGCTCGGACATTGTTCATATAAAAAAAAATGTGGTATGAAAGTTAATATGGGTACATGTGACGAATCTTTATGCGTAGATTAGATGATGTCATCTGTCACAAGGCGCCAAAAACAGAAAAGAAAGATATCTACGCCAATAAATAACAACGTGAATGACTGAAGCTGAGTAATCGGTTATTACGTACATTTCCTCACTGTTTACAACATCGACGCAAAGAAAGCACAAGGAAATATCAGATGATCTTCGAGGACTCGAGAGGAAAGTAAAGAAAAGATATCGGGTCAAAGACTAGTGCAAATTTGTGCGTATAAATACCGGAAATAGAGAATACGATGATGTAAGAAAACAAAAAAAGATATAATAATCAAATCATCCCTCTCTCACGAGGTCGAAAATGACGGATGGCAGCAATGTGGATGATGATTCATTATTGCTACTTCTTCGTGACGCTATTGTTCAACACTCATCCCTCAATGATATTAAACTTATTCTAAGGTAGAAGTGTTTTATCATCTTTTGCGGAACGACGAAATATGATCTTTTTTGTTTATCTGCAGTTGTAAATATGTAGATATAAACGGATGCGTTCGACGTGGTCTTCGACCATTGCACTATGCCGTGTTTGAAAACGATTTCGAATGTGTTCGACTCCTAATTGAAGAGTATAATGCCGATGTGAACGTCTTGGACGAAGCGGGTTATTCGCCATTGCATTTAGCTGCTAAATATGGTCTCCTTGATGTCATGCATTTATTGATCGATCATGGTTCATTGATGAATTTTCAAGCAGCAGCTGCAACGAACAGTCAAACTGGTTTATTGGTTGCACCATACTATGATGTTATGACTGAACCATTGAGTCTCGCTTTGGAAAACAATCATATCGAGTGTGCACGTTTGCTTCTTTGTTCGGGCGCAGAAGTCAATCAAAAATATTTTCTTGGTTATGAGATTAATTTGTTACCCTATGAAAACCATAGCGCTTTGGAACTAATTCTTCGACATGGTGCGAATCCGAATGCTCTTTCACGCAGTGGAATAACACCGTTGATAAAAGCTTGTCGGGAAGGAAATCTAGGTGCGGTTGTTTTACTTTGTCGTTATGGAGCGAATGTCAATTATGTGACAAGAAAGTTTCGACAACGAAATGCTTTGGTTACAGCGATCGAATCCAAACAAAGCGATATTGTTGAACAGTTGTTAACATTCGGTGGTTTTGCCAATAAACATCCTGAATTGTCCAATTCACCATTGGAATTAGCGATTCGAAAGGACAATATTGACATCGTCCGACTTTTAATCGGTAAATTAGTGAAGAAATGTTCTCCACAGTCTGTACTTCTATACATATTTTAGCATTTGGTGCTGATACAAACGAAGAAACCAATGAGGATGTCGAATGTACGACTCCATTGATTCTTGCCTGTCAATGTTCATATTTAAAAAATCAATATGAAATCGTGAAATGTCTTCTTGAGAATGAAGCTCAACCGAATCAATCAGTGTCAAACAGTCCTCAACATCATCACCAACATACTCCTATTCGAACGCCGTTAGTTGCTTATATCAAACACGCACATGAACGACGATTAGATATGCGTATTATTCGCTTATTGATTGGTTACGGTGCTCGAGTATCATTTTCTCGCGGGCGAGGTTTGAACGAAATGACACAAAAAGAGTTCGACTGCTTTATTTCGTCTTTTAGATAGCGTCCTTCAATTCTTACGTCGTTTACAATCAAAGACAAATTTAATTGAAATACTTTGTGATGCAGCTTACTATTTTCATCCAAGTTACTTGGCTGAATGTACGGAATTGGATGAGATAACCAAGAAGGAGATCTTAAAACGTGCAAAAACACCATCGTCGTTGAGAAATCTCGTACGAAAACAAATTCGAGCCGAAATTTTCAAATCACCATTGAAACTGTCGATCGATCGCGCTGTCAAAAAACTTGATTTACCCGTTTTCCTTCAACATTATTTACTCTTCGAACATATCTAACGAACCATACAATGTTTATTTTTCCTACATGTACATAGTACATAACCATGAATCAGAATAAATGATTTGGTGCTAAGCACAGTGCAAATAGTTAATCATCTCTGCAGATCCCAATGATGTAATAGTCGTAGAAACATAGAATTGATAGTTTTCTTTTTCGAAAACAAGTCATACTTACTGTAGGGTGTATCTTATTGCAACCTTGGTGTGTATCTTGAATCAATAATGAACGAGGTATTCTCTTGTTGCAAGTACCTGTGAACTTCTCAAGTCCTATCAAGGAAAAACGTTGAAGGCTGAGAAACATGTTGATGTCCAGGTGATGTTTTTCTCAATATCAATGAGAAATTGTGAACTGATTCGATCTATTCGTCAAAATTGTACGAGTTATTGAAGGCACTTTTTTTTCTACTTGTTTTTTCTTTGTAAAAAAGAAAAAAGCTACACATATAACACACGAAAAAAAGAGAGCGAGAAGTGCTATCTACTAAAACAGGCAGTTATAGATACATATATGTTTCGCCTTGTGTATTTCTATGAGATTAGTCAAATCAGTTCCGTACTGAAAAGTCACTTTCTATCCAATAATTGTTGTTGCTGTTGTTTGTTGAGATATTTTCTTCTCTCGTCGAAAAATAAACCACCAGATCGCGTAAACTGGTATGGGTAATGTCGAAATAGTACTCATTATCCATCCTGCAATGCTAACTTTTACAGCTGTTTTTTGACCGCCAAACGAGAGAAACTCTTGACTATCGAATTGGATAAATGAACAAACATAGAGTACGAGGAGTATCCCTGGAGCGATATAGCGACATGTAATACGCCAGTAGATACTTGGTTTTCGTCCAGTCATAGTTTCCACATCTTGATTGAATCGATCGATTCCATATAGCCACACCGTGGCCACAAGCTCAGACAAAACAATGAACATAATTGAGGGCGATGTACCGAAGAAATCCATGAAATGAACGACATATTTTCCACCGTGAGTCAATGTCGGAATCGATGCTAAGAATGGGATTAAGACAACGAATGCACGTGATACACGAGGACATCTCGCTAATTTGGGAAATTCATCCGATAATGCTGTATAAACACTTTCAGCACCGGCGAAGACACTATCAAGTCCTAATGTTATAAGCATGATAAAGAAAAGGACGGAAAAGAAAGGTGCACCGCGAATAGATGTTAAAATCTCTGGGTAAACAACAAAAACCAGACCCATATTACTTTCAGTAAATTGTCGTACGTCACTTTTCAATCGGTACGATAAATATCCCAGGCCAGCGAAAACAACTGTTCCATATAGTAAACTTGTACAACAATTAATTAAACTGGCGGTCAAAGCCGTATTCGAAACATTATCATGTTTATCGGTAAAACTAGCGTAACTAAGTAAAACACCGAAACCAGGCCCTAAACTGAAGAAAATTTGAACGGCAGCTGCTTGCCAAACAGAATATTCGCTCAGACGTTCGAAGGATGGTGCAACATAATATTTCAAACCTTCAAATATTCCATCCAATGTTAACGAACGAAACAGTAAGATAATCAATACAAAATAGGGCACTAAAGCAGTGAACCAAATAGCTTTTCCAGCTGTTTTAACTCCTTTGAAAATCGATAGATAAATAAGAAGAAAAACCAGCATGGAACATCCAACTAGCTCCCATTGTAATGAACCCAATAAATTTATGCTTGGTGATAAATGTGATTTCAACATTCGCCGTTCGAAGTATTCATCAGCCGATGATGCTGAAACATTCGATGTGATATTCAAAATCTGTTTGCCATGTAGCGAATAGCAATTCTCGGTATTCCAATCGTTCTTACAAAAGGTCCATGGAACAACGGCACGAAATGATGCTATGCAATAATGAATCGACCAGGCAATAATCGTGTTATAATATGATAACACATAGAAGTTAATGATTAACATTGAATAGCCAATTCCTTTCAGTGGTGGACAAATTTTATTCCAAATGGTTAAGTAGCCGAGACGATGATATTGTCCAATGGCTAATTCCATATACATACCTTGAATAGACGAGGAAATTAGACGGATGATTGAGAAAGAAGTCGAACTTACAGGGAAGACCAACAAGAAATAAAAATGTAAAGTAGGGAATGAGAAAGGCACCACCGCCATTTCGATAGCAAGTTGTTGGAAATCGCCAAACATTGCCTAATCGGTGAAAACAATGACAACTCATGATTCAAATAAAACAATCTTCGTCTTTACCCAGATCAACAACGAAGCCAATAATCGATAATAGATAAACAACACGATTACTCCAATTATCGCGATTACCTTGGACAATGTTCGTCTCGTATTTGTCCACAGTTGTAATCAGAAGAGTTTTTGTTTCTGGTTGATCACAATTTTTCGTACCAATCATTTGCAAGTGTTCTTGTTCAGACTTTTGACGAGACATGGATCTATCTGTATAGAATTAACCGGGTTTGTCGTTGGTTTGTCTCATGATTGATGATAGTTCTACAAAATAGATTTACACAGTGAGAAAATCTCGCCGTTTTCTTTCGATTAACTATGAAGATATAGCTGTCAGCTTCGTATACGCTTATCTCTAATCTTTTTTTCGTTGAAAATAATCAAATGAAAGATGTGTTACATTTCATTAGGCAAAACTCTTCTTCCAGTTCGAAATGTAAGCATTTCGATTGAGTTTAATTTTTGTTTAAAAAGAAAAAGAAGAAAAGAAATAACGAGAAGGAAATGACATTTAACTCCTATCTAAATATTGCCTTGAAACCCCCTACGAAAGTAATGTGTCATTGTGATTCGAGATGAGAAACGAAAACCATCTGACAATTTTCACGTTATTCAAAGAGATTTTTTGCAGATGCACGTTCTACTAGTCATTCTTTCAATATTCTCATTCTTTCAAGGATTTGTTCGTATGAATAAACAACCAATTGAGTTCTCATTGTCTTTAACCACCTCGCTATTACTAATGATAATAAGCATTAACTAGCCTATCAGCAAACGAGTGATAATAAGTGTCATCGAGTTATTTTCTTCGTCTCATAAGTTGACGTATGCGAGTATGTTTGTGTATCTCTCGAGTGATGATATGCTGCTATTGATATTTTCGACTGATGAATTAATTAATTGAATACACACTATCTATGCTACTATCATCACTACAAACAGATATATCGTCCGTATCTCCGACTGTCGAAGACGTTCTCTATTTTGATAACTGACATGAGAACGACGAGGGAGGGATGTGAGAAATAGAAAATGATGATTGTTTGCGTATGACAAGTCGAGTCTCGAAGAGCATTTGCCATCGCTTAGAAATCAACGCATGTGATTCGTCTGAAGAATGAAAACTTGCCTTGAAGTGAATTTTCTGTTGTTCGACATGTATTTAAAGAGAAAAAAAGAAACTCTTCAAAGCTTATTTTTTTCTCATAATGAATAAAGAGATTAACTCGAATAGTTTCCTTCGACGTATATTTTTCTTTGCCTTTTAGCACAATAGAATTGTTTATACAATTATATTAGGATTTGTTTCCGATCTCGACAACGCGATACATATACAGGATATGAGATAGTTATTTTCAGTCTTTCGTAGCTTCTTTTTAGCTGAAAACATTCTCAACTATTGATCAGAAGTAGTTCGGACGAACTAATCCACAAATATTCATAAATATCTAGATCCTACTTCACATAGCTCGAGGTAACAAAGGTCAATAGTAACGAATTCAACTACTTGTATCCAAACGGATCAATCGAAGTTTGTTAGAGTCACAAAGAACGGTTGCGGCTTCATTTTCACCACCACAATAGTGACTCGATGAGAACACGGTTAATAAACGACCATTCAATTGAACCTAGACGACAAAAGCACTCCCGTCGAGGTGAGATTCATGAAAATCTGATGTACTTTGAAGCCTTGTTGTTGAACTTCATGTGCGCGTACAACATATAATAGAGAGTTTCGTTGAAGAAAATCATTCAGTGCTTTCGATGAGAAGAAATATCCTGTTCCTCGACGAATATTGGTTATGAATCCATTATTATCTGGTTCTAAGTCTTGAATTTCATTCGATAAAGGATCATTCCATAGCAATTCCCAGGCAAGCGCTGATTCATTTTCCGGATCACGTAACGGACATGGAATTTGAGAAACTAATTTGAAAAAATCACTTTTCACGTCTAATGAAGGGATGCCACCGTGAACGCAGAGAATACGATTATCAACTAGGGCGCCTGTGGGTATATAGAAGATGATGAATTCAATGTTTCAAAGTGTTTACAGATGGGCATTGTGTCGAAACAACGATTGATTTCTTCCCAAACTTGTTCACCAAGATCCGGACCGAATTTACGGCGGCATTCACTATGAAATTGAAACATATCTTGAACATTCCGTAATTCATGATTTCCACGGAGAAGAAAAACCTAGATGAAGATGTCAGATTTGATTCGAAATGCTATTCAACGAACTTTATGTGGACATAGAAGTTTTTGTGCGAAGAGATAAGCAACAACTTCAACACCTTCTGGACCTCGATCGACGTAATCACCTAAATAATTTCATAAACCAACACATTTCTATCTCTAAGAAACAATTTACCTAGAAAAAGTATCGATGCAGGCGTCAATACAGGTCCTAGTCGCCAAAAGGTTTTTTCGAAACAAATCAAATCACGAAAATTTCCATGTAAATCACCCACTGTCTCAACATAATTTTATCCCAATGAAAACAAACAGCAACATTATTCATCTCACAGATATAGCATGCCGATGAAATTCGTAATAAACGATTTTCCTTAACAAATATTGAATAGATCTGTTTACACAAAACTAATAAACAACGAGCCATGGCAGACATATCAACTTTTCCCCATGTATATGGATCTTTCAGCGCTGGTCCACCTAAAACCTATCGTAAAAACGAGCAAAAGTAGTCCACCAACACATGTACCTTCTTTTGATCCACGTTCGAAATATCTTAGTCCATTCAACATTTCATTTGCATGTGTACGTTGATTGAAACAATCTTGGCTATTGATTCGATCAAATTTTGCATGATCATCATCGAAAAACAGAGCTGTACTACCACTAATTGCTCCAGTTATTTCCATATCATACAACGATGTTATGTCCACCACGACACCTGTTTTCTTAACCTAAAAGTTTTACTGTGTGAAAGTACAGAGCGTTGTTGAGCTTCGAATTATGAACAAACTTTCACGATGTGAGTACCGATTTCATAGGGATGAGGTTCATGAATTGAAATATTCGATATAGCTGGCAGTGATGGCGAAGCCGGCGTACTGGCCGTTCGTCGTGACATTGGTTTTGTGCTCAACGTTCGATTCGAAGTGAATGATTGTATTATCAATGCATTGGATGCTGGAGAAGCTGTTCGTTTGAAATATTCAATCAACGATGTATTCAATCGAAACAGAACGGATGTTCCACGAAATCGAAGTTGACCAACGCCAGACAAGAAATCCATTAGACTTAAAGTTTGCTCGCTGGACCGAAGACCGAATGAGCGAAACATTTGTAGTGCTTCCTCATTCAACGCTTCGCCAACTAAATTTTGTCCTTTATTTTTATGAATTTCTTTAATCATTAGTTTAAACTCGTCGAAGGTCATTCGCTGATTATTACTAAGATTGTAATAACGAAAGATATATCGACAACGTTGTTCGGCAGGTACACCGCCATGTTGAGTACTCGGATCAAGTGCAGCTAAACCAAGTAAATAATCAACGTAGGTTAAATAATTTCGTTGTGTCGAATCAAAAGCACGAAAATAATGGGGTAGTTCAGAAGATTCTAAACCTTTACGTCGAAGTAATTGCTTGAATGTTTCTAAATTTAGATAATCAGATGGTACAACTGTGTGATGATACTCTTCATAGAGTTTTTCTTGGATTGTCGGTGTAAACTTCGCTGATAAAAGTAAGATTTCCGTTGTATTTGATTTCGAAAGTGTTTCCGTTTGCGGTATTTTTGTTTCTTCGAACATTACATTCGTCGATTTCATTCCCGAATGAAATATATCTTTGAATTGTTTGTTTAACGTCAACGGCTCAATCCCCAGCAATCGTGAAAGTTTGCTAACATGCTTCAGCTGATTATTTGTTAACCAAACAGTTTCGTTATCAGAGAGAAGATTCAATTGTCGCTCAAAATCGATTGCCTCAACTTTACCACTTAACCATACGTTGATCACTGTGGTTGACTTTGGAATGATCGCATAGAAAAGAACATCGTGACCTTGGAATGGCAGAGTTTTGGTTGAGCAGATTTTGACAAGCTGAATTTGATCTGCATCATAAGTAAGAAGTGGATCAAGTACACGTTTGACTGTCTGAATCGATGTCTCATTCGGACGACGTTCTGCGAACAAAAACCAAAGACCACTTCGATGTCGATAATTACTCATCAGATAGACATCTTTCGTTTTGTCATAAACCACACAAACGATAAAATCCAATGCTGAATATCCATCGACTGTATCATGAGGTGAATTTTTCTGATACATAGGAAAATGAAAAATAAACGAAATAAGAAGCGCTTATTTAACTTTCAGTTTGAATCGATTCGTTGCAAGGAAGAAAAACTAAAGATGTTCATTTGATCTGTATAGCACAGTGGAAGTTTACCAAGTCTTATCTGTTTTTATTTTGAAATAGAGCAAAAGCAAAAGAACGAGCATGTGTGAAAGTATTCTAGCAAAGAAAAGAAATATTTCAAAAACGAACAACAAACAATACAGCACAATAATAAAAAAAACATTGAAAATGGTGACGAAGAAGAAAATTGATCCTTCTAGCCTAAATATGATAAATAGAAATAAGTTAGGACAATTAAGATAAAATAACAACGATATCAATCGTCGTAGAGAAATAATGTCTATTAACATAACACGACAAGTATGATAAATGTTCAAAGTATCATAAACAAACAAGAATAAAGAGATAACTTTTAATAATTCATAGAGACGGGTATAGGTGCTGAACCTTGATGAGGAATACCTTCAGGATTGAAATGTTTTAAGTCGCCAAGAGGAATGGACGAATACGAACCAGTACTAGCGGCATAACCAGGATGACCACCTACGCCGGAGCCCGATCCATAACTAGCGGAGGAGCCAGGTCTTTGAAAAGCATCATTACCATTTCGTTGACGGAGTTCTTGATACATTTGTTGCTCGACTTGATCAGTTTTCTGAACGATATCGTAGGCCGGACGACCATATCGACGTACTAATGTTGATTTATCTGTTCTTTGCCATGTGTTATTAATCGTGGCATCGAGGACTTCAATTGGAGCTGAGCAGCTTATGGGTGCACCGTTGACAGCCGATGCGCTATTAGTTCGGACTAAATTTGAATAGGATTCGTGATAACCACCACTGCTAGCACCACTTGTGACACCTTGCTGAATGTTAAGCTGAGCAGCTGACTGACTATGTTGGAATGGATCAGGAATGGATGTTGCTTCCTGATAGACACTAGCCATTTCATGACCTGATGTTGTGTATTGTTGTTCTTGTTGTGTAGGCGTATAACCGTAATCGACACCACCAGCATATTCAGCACAGCGACCACCATAAGCTACAGGTAAATTATCTCGGTAGACATATTCTTCTTTGGTTGATTTACCGCTCGTGCTTTCGTGACCAGCACCACGTACTGGTACGGGCACTGGTTTTTCACGATCAATGATAATTGGTCGTTGTGTAACTGGCACGGGTCGATCGACAAGGACAGGTCGAGCAACATGGATGACTTGAGGACGTACGATGACACCTGAAACAAGGATAAAAGATAATTTCAATCGTTAGAGATAGGTCAACTACAGGTACATACGTTCTCGAGGTACAAAGACAGGTTTAATAACGGGTACATAGACATTACGTGGAATGTAGACCACATTGGGTGCTCCACTACTTGTTGTTTGTTGTATAGCTGGGCCGGCGGCTTGTCCTGTTTCACCTATGATCACAGGAGAAAATTTGGATGAAATTATTCAACAAATGTTTGTTTGCAATTATTGAATATACCTTGTCGTGGCATGTAGAAGACAGGTTGAATAGGTTGCACAATGACTCGAACTTCACCGTTCCCACTACCTGACGGTCTCTTTTCCGTTTCTTTCTTATCGTCAAAGCCTGCGGTTGGATTAATTTGCGTTTGTGTGCCACCATCATGGCCAGTCCATTGTATTTTCGCACCTGCTCCTCCATTTTGTACCATACGTCTATGCAAATAAAATGTCAAGTAGAGAATATGAATTTCCAACAGAAAAAGGGTATTACTCGATAGCTCCCAGAATATCATTGCGGAATCGTTCGAAATCGAAGGATGAATCAGGTTTTGGACTTCTTGATCGGGAACGTGATCGTGAATGAGACTCTGATTTTTCGCGTCCTTCACTCTGGAGAGAGAAAAACAAGTTTTCTTTTGTTTATTACTCCATGAAAACAGTGATAAAAGTAATAGATACATACCTTAGCCCGTTTTTGCCAAACTTCAATGATAGTTGCTCGATTTGATGAACTTCCTTCGGCTTGTTCTCTAAGCACGGAGAAAAAGACGAAACATCAAATTCAGTCTTTAGCTCGATAGACGAATCTAAGATGAATTCTGCAACAAAAATTGCTTACCCGCAGAAACCGCTTTGATAACCAGAAGGGAAGCTGCCACCAGACGAGCCCATATCACCTGAACCTGCTTCGACAATATAATCAGCAACGAGTTGAGCTTGAGGTGGAATAGGAAGACTCGCTGCTAAGTTAGCAAGTCCACCACCTGAGCCAGCAGCTCCCATCGGCCCAACTAATAAAAGTTTACACGAAGAATTGAACTTCGAACTTCCTGAATGAATACTAACCTCCACTATAGCCCATACTACTTGTCGGAGCTCCCAGACTGCTCATACCTCCGAGGCCAGCCTGGCCCATGCCGCCAGTTCCAACGACTTGCGCATGATACATAGTAGCACCTGGAGGACATGGGCCACCTGGAGCCGCTGTTAGGATCATTTGTTGCCAGCCAGGTGGACATCCACTTAAAGTTGATGCTCCTGGACAAGGTTGTGACATTTGTATAGGCAACGGTGCCGGTGAAAGAGCTGATATTTGTCCTTGAGATCGCGAGCGAACTTCTTTATCAACGCCTTGAACTTCAATTTTGCCTTTGTATTCATAGCCGGGCGGTGGTTCTTGTCGATGTGGACTATGTTCGCCACGTTCAATAAAGATTAAATCATCATTGATATGACCATAACCATCGGGACCAGCTGCTGTGTGACCTTGGTTGATACGCGATTGATGTGATTGACTGTAACCAGCATGATCAGTACTGTGATGGCGGCTGTGACGACGGCGTGAATGAGTGACTTCATCGCCACGAGTTTCATCGTCAGCGGATGGAATTGGTGAGCGTACTTGTGGTGCTTCATTACCTAGAACACTTGATGATCGTTGGCCAATTAATTGTCTTAAAGAATAGAAACATATACAGTGTGTAGAACAAGTGAGACGAATAGAATTATGCTAATTACTCGGGTATTCCTTGTGTTTGATCACCGCTGTGGTTTACAACGTCAGGACCGTGATAGCGATGTCGGTGGTGACGTCGATGGTGCTTTATCATAGTTCCTCCTGGAGTACCACTATATTGGCTATAGCCAGCACTCTGTTGGCCATAACCGTAGCTGGTGCCAGTACCGTATTGTTGTTGCTGTTGCTGTTGTTGCTGCTGTTGTTGTTGTTGATTGTAGTAACCATGTGTTGTGCCTACTCCAAAACCACCAGCGCCATATGGAACTCCAAAGCCATTGCCATATTGAGCACCATCGGCTAGAATGAGAATACTCTGAATCGACCGTAATTTACAGTCAAGCTCTTACTCTGAAAATGGTGGCCATGATCGACTTTATGTATTGATTCGTCGCGGCTTAATGGTGAATCACCAAGACCATTTTGTCTACCTTTACGCGCTCGATGATGACGATGGCGATGATGATGAACAGAAACTCCTTGTGGTGCGTATCCCGATGAAAGAGGAACGGCGCCAGCACCGCCAAAGCGCGGATCAATCATTATCGATGGGTAAGCAAGAAGTTAAACACGCAACAAAAAACAGTCTAATCACAAATCTGAAATAGGAAAACGTACGAAAAAATACATTAATTCAAGGGATTTCATCCATTTCGTTAATGTTAAACATTTTTCTATATCACATAACGATGACATGTTCGAGGACAATATGCAAAACCATCATTTTGTGAAGACTTTGAAATATTTCATTCGATGTCAATGTACGTATCTAGATATGTATACAGATACATAGGTACACTATAAAAATGTATATATACATATTCTCTATTCATATCTCACTACGACCATCATCATATGAGTAATTACCTAGAAACGATATAAAAAATCTCAAGAGGAGCATTTATGACAATCAACTCACCTTCACACACTCGGTCACATGTGCATATATAAACATATGTATAGATTGTAGGTAGGCCGATTGTGACGGATGAAAGACAGTCTTTGCACTGTTACTTTTAATAAACAACGACGACACTGCTATCGGCAATCAGTCCTCAACAATATCGAACATATACATGTGTATATATTTGAAAATGTAGATGCGTGTGTCTGGACTACACCGAAGAAGAAGAGAAAGAAATAAGTATGTGAAGTAAAAAAAGGGTGACAAGCACAACGTCTCTCCCTCTCTTGCATTTCATCTCAAGCGTATCGATTGACATGCAGCAAATATATGAGAGAAGAAGAGGCAGAGAGGCAGAGAGACACAGAGAGAGAGAGATAGAGAAAGAGACAAGAAATATGAAAGAGAAAACCGCAACTGGTATATCCAGATTAATAATCTCATCATATTTGATGTGAATGATATGATATGAAATAATTGACCGATCTTTGAAATGTTTTCCAATAAAAGAAACGAGCAAACCTAATTTTACCGTACTCTAATATAGTAATGATCGTCATCATGATGAGAAAAGAGAGCTATTTCACACTTATTATATTAACGAAACTTCATTTACGGAGAAAATCAAAATATACAAACAACTGTATAAATAGGTGATGTTGTTGTTATTTTTAACTATCGTTCCTCTTATTATAGCGTATCACTATGATCATGTTATAATAATAAAAAAACAAAAATACACATTTGTAAATATTCAATTAAAAA